TATATATATGTATGTATATGTATATGATGTGAAGAAGGAAAGGGCTACCTTTCAAATAAAGTAACTCACAGTGTTAAAATAGTCTCAATTACCTGAATGATAGAAATTAGTCTAATCTAGAAGCTTTGAAAATACAATGCTAAACATTCCTTGAAAAAATTGTAAGTTGAGGACTCACACATTTCTCTCAAGACCACACTCACAAGCTTTAACTTTTTAATTCAAACCAAAAACCTTCTGTAATCTAGTATACCAAAAAGAGACAATGAACAGTGAACAGAAGAGACAATGAACTTCATTTTTTGAAGTTGTATAATTTGTATTCAGTACTATCATTCACCTCAACCATACTGAGACATGGATAGATAAATTGAGAGAAAAGGAGATAGATAGAGACATTTGGACTATACTCTTATTTTAGGTGTGGATTTTTTAAATCACTTAACTATAGAATAAAACCTCTTGTACAATATGCTAAGTAAAATGATGATACAATTTATGTGAACTACAGCAAGAAAAAAGATTAGTAGATTCCACACAGTATGATATCAAATGTTTAATACAAAGTTCTGTCATCTGATTTGTAACAAAACCCACTGCCATTGAGTTGATTCCAACTCAGATTGCCCCATTTTCTTCCTGTGGAGCAGCTGGTGGGTTTCAACCATCAACCTTCTGGTTAGCAGCCAAATGCCTTAATCACTATGCCACAAGAACTTCTTAATTTGTAATTAGCAAGTGAGAATTATGAGAAGTCTATGCTGTGTAGGAGGAGTCTTTGGGTGACACACATGATTAAACACTTAACTACTAGCTGAATGTTGGTGGTTCAAACCCATCAAAAAGCACCTCAGAAGACAGGCCTAGGGATCTGCTTTCAAAATAACACAGCCTTGAAAACCCTATGGAGCAGTTATACTTTGCACCCATGGGTTCACCATGGGCTGGAATTGATGGCAACTAATAAAAACATGTTGTCAAGGAACTGTCTTTTAGTCAGAGAGGAGAAAGAATTGGAAAATACAGATGAAAACAGACATGTTGGCCATCACTGAAATTCAAGGGGACTATAAGTTTTAGTTTTTTTTTTTTTTTTTAATAAATGTAGTAAGGAGTCCTGGTGGCACAATAGTTAAGATCTTAGCTCTTAACTGAAAGGTTGGCAATTCAAATCTACCAGCTGCTCTGCAGAGGAAAAGACCTAGTGATCTGCTCCCATAAAGATTATGGTCTAGGAAACCCTATGGGAGCATGCTACTCTGTCATATAGGACTGCTGTGAGTTGAAATTGAATTGCTGGCAACAACAGCATTATGTAGATGTTATTTTTTGTTTAGTAAAATACATTGACAAATTATCTTCTAAAATATATTTATCAAACTATGGTAAAGAAATCTTTGTGGAAGCAGATTACCTCATTGTTCTTCTACAGAGTAGAAGAAATTTGGGTTCGAACCACCAATGTTTTTTGGTTATCAGTCAAGGACCTTAACTACTGAGCAACCAGAGTCAGAATCAACTTGATGACAGTGGGTAGGTAGTAGCAGGATAAAGAATATGCTAGGCACTTTTAAACTGTTACTGTAGGTGAAGGGAGCTCTGGTGGCATAGTGCCTAAGGCTTTTGACTGCTAACCAAAGGCTGGTGGTCAAACCCACCAGCCACTCCTGGGAAAGAAGATTGGGTAATCTACTTCTATAGAGATACTGCCTCAGAAACTCAAGGAGGGGTTGCCATGAGTTGGAACTCACTTGACAGCAGTGAGTTTGGTTTGGGTTTTTTTGGTAAGTGAAGCAAATATTTGGAGAGTGAATTATAGGAAAGAAAGAATTTTGAATACCAAAGACAATCGAAACTGAATATTTTGCCTGTGGAAAACCTCTCCAGCTAAGCCTTACACCAAGATCATAACTTCTTTCTCTAATTTGAAAAAACAAACACAAGCTATGTCTATGAACTGTAACTATTTTCTATAGTATCTACATGTGAATCATGAGAAATACAAAAATAAGTCTTTATGGGTCTTTGCTCATAAAGGCCTTTTTGACAGTGACTCACGAAATGACATTCTGATGGTGCAGTGGGTAAAGCATTTGGCTGTTAACCAAAAGATCGGGGATTCAAATCCACTAGCCACTCTCCAGAAGAAAGATGAGGCAGTGTGCTTCCAAAAATATTTACAACCTTAGAAGCTCTGTGGGGCAGTTTTCTTCTGTCCTAAGGGTTCCTATGAGTTGGAATCCACCTGATGGCTGTCGGTTTGGTTTATTTTTTAATGAGATAACATAGAGTCATTTTTTGTTTGATGAAGAAATCACTATGAAAACATGTTAACATCACCCACTAATGTTTGATAAATAAAACCAAAGGTGAAAAAATAGACTCTTTTAAATCCAGAAATATTTGACACAATTAACTAACTTTCCAATGTTGACATATATATGCACATCAAAAGTCCTAAAATTTGATATGCACTTAGAGATTTGGAAGCACAAAGAGTTAATTCATGTCAATATTTTGATGTCATCATCAACAGTTTCCTCAATATTTTACCACATTTAAATTTTATTTGTTCCAGGATTCCTTAAATACTAATATTTCACTTCATTAAATCAAATAAATTGATACTAATGAAAAGAAAAATGTTCCCTATGATTTTATCTAAGTTCCTTAGGCAGGGACATGTGGAATCACTCAGCATATTATAATAAGTAAAAAGAAAAAATGTAACTAATAATCTTCTCCAGGAAGCTTACCTCTCAGCAAGAGTTTGCTGTTCATTGATTCCAACATTAAAAAGTACTGGGTATACATGAAGCAATTGTCCTTCTTTAATCTGAAGAGGCAGCGACTCAAATACTGTAGCCGGAAGTTTGACCTCTACCACATAATGTTCTCTGAAGAAAGTGGTATAAAAGGAAAAAAAAATATACCACTTATTCATTTGTTGATGTTATTTTAGACTCATGGGAAAGAAACAATAGAAACATTTAGGATATAGTGCTGATTTAGGTGTTTGGCTGCTTTATGCTTTCTTTCAATTATTAATTCTATTAATATATTCAATAATCACTTCATTCACTGCACTATTAAATTACTTGGCCCAAAGAGTTGGAAAGGTTTGTTTACATGTTTGATTTCTTGATACAACTCTTAGCTACTTTAGGAATGTAAGAATGTGAAGTTCCATTGTGTAAACCCAGGGCCATGGGGATATTTGTTTTTCTGATTTAATTGTTTTCAAAACCCAACCAGTTCCAAGAATAGGAAAAGTAATTTAATAATGGATTTTTTTTTAATATAGTGAAAACTAATAAACCAAATCAGTTAAAACATTTTTTGAGGGGGAGGAGCATGACTTGATCGTTATTATTATTGATGAACCTCCCCATTTGTGATGTCCCTGTGGAAACGTGATAGTTTAGTTATTTAAGGTGTAACAGTCTAGCTCAATATTTGTCATTTTCTTTTTTTTATCTTTTCAAAGAATCAACTTTTGGTTTTGTTGATTTTTCAGTTTTTATTTCATTAATATATGCTCCAATATTTATTATTTCCATCTGTTTCCTTGGTTTGGTTTTAGTCTTCTCTGCCTTATTCTAGTTTCTTAAGGTGGTACCTCACATTATTTTATTTATTTGTTTGTTTGTTTATTTGTGCTTTAGGTGCAAATTACAGAGCAGAATTTGTTTTACATTCAACATTTTGGTTATATTTAGTTTCATTTCCCAATTACCATCCCCAACCCCAACCCACTCTCCTCCCTCCCTTCTCAGTAACCCCACCAACCATGCCCTTCATAGTTATGCACTCCTATGTGTCTTGCATTTCCTCTGTGTGAATGTTGCCCCTCTAGTGCTCCGTGGTCAATTGCTCCAAGGGATCTATCTCCATAGAGTATGTAGGAGCGTCACCCTGGGTTGAGTGATCTGTATGTAAGTGCTAATAACTATTAGGTTGAGAGCCAGACCTTGGGAGTGAGCTTTATTCAAGGCCCGAAGTGTATCCCAGGGCCACGGTGTTGGGGGTCCCATGTGACTCCTTCCAACCAGTAATTCTGCTCATTATTATGTTTTTGGATTTTGTTCATTTTTACTCCCACTCTATTCAGGATTTCCAGTTTTGATCCCTTCCAAGTGGTTGGCATTGGTAGCCAGGCACCATCTAGTTCTTCTGGTCTCAAGGTCCATCATGTCCTAGGACTAATTGCTCCCAAATTCTCTTGGTTTTTTGCACTCTTTTTTGCTTCTTAAGATAGGAGATCTTTAGCTGCATCTTAGATGGTTGCTCAAAAGCTTTTGAGACCTCAGTTGCTACTCACCAATGTAAATTGTGGAACAAGATTTTTATGTATTTTGTTGTGCCAATTGAGTCTGGTGTCTCCCAAAACTATGGTCCTGAGTCAGTAGATTCATTGGATCTCTCTCCCACAGTGTCTGGCTGTCTATGAGGGATTGCTCTATGTCTGCCTTCTGTTGTTTCTGTAAGGATTACGGGTATTTTGTATCACTGGTATCTGTGTGAGATTAGCCTCAGCTGAATCTACCCTTGGTCTAGAGTATAATCCTGTTTGCTGAAACGGTGGTACCTCATTGATATGAGGTCTTTCTTTCTAATAATGGGATTTGAAGCTGTAAATTTTCCTTTAAGTACAGTTTTAGTTGTATTCCACACATTTTTATTTATTTTTTTTCATTTAATTTAAAACATTTCTCATTTCCCTTGTAATTTCTTTTTTTGAACCATTTCAAAATGATTATTTAAAAGTATTCTTTATTTTTCATATATTTGGGGATTAATAAAAAAAAAACATCTTTTGTGGATTTCTAATTTCATTGTGGTCAGATAACATACTTTGGAGGATTTCAGTGTTTTCAGACTCATTTTATGACCCATTATATGGTTTATGCTGGAGAATATCCAGCATAAAGAGTACATGTTTGGCTTTTGTTTCCAGGAGTGTTTTTTATAGATGTCTGTTAGATCAGTTTGGTTGACTGTGTTGCTCACTTCTTCTTTATATTTGCAGATATTCTATCTAGATATTTTTTAAAAAATTATTAAGAGTATTAAAGTCTTTAACGATTTTTGAAGTATCTCTTTGTCCTTTCATCTCTGTCATTTTTTTGCTTCATGTGTTTGGAGGCTTTGCTGCTGGATACATAAATGTGGTTTATAATTTGGATATCCTTCTTTTGCCATCAAAAGATGTACTGCTTTGTCTCTGCTAGTAATTTTTATGTTAAAGCCTATTTTGTCTGATACTAGAACTTTTGTCTTTTCTGTTTCCATGGTACATCTTTTTTTTTTCCCTCTTCTTCAAGTTTCAGCTTATTTGTGTCTATGAGTATAACATGTGTTTCTTGTATGCAGCATAAAGTTTTATTTATTTTTTTTTCCAGTCTAATAAACCTCTTATTTGTCTTGGATATTTCACCAAATGATTTAAGGTACTTGCTAACATAGCTGGATTTTTGTCTCTCGTTTTGATATTTATTTTCTATGTATCTGCCTTAATTTTTTTTTTTCCCATCCAATCCTACTTCATTGCCTTCTTGTGTGTTAAATAGGTACTAACTTGTGTAGCATCGTAATTCTTTTCTTGATAATTATTGCTTACTATTTTTAAAATTATTTTCTTAGTGCTTGCTCTAGGAACTACAATATGCATCTTTAGTTATTATGTCTATTTAAGATTGTTGTTGTTGTTGTTATGTTTGTTCTGGTGGCTCTGACTCACAGTGACCTTATATATAACATAATGAAATGTTTGCTAGTCCTATGCTATCTTCACAATTGTTGTGTTTGAGCCCATTACTTTGACTTTTGTGTCAATCCATCTCATTGAGAATTTTCTTATTTTTGCTTACCTCCTACTTTATCAACCATGATGTTGGTAAGGGCTCCTATATAATAACTCTCCCTTTCATTCATCCATCTCTCTCTCTTTCTCTCTCTCTTTCATTTTTAATGAAAACATTCCAAGTTTTGAGTATCTTTACACAACATTTAAAAGTCCTAACATTGGAATGGCTAAAATTTGGAGACTTTCTGATTGAAATGATTTGCTATAGATATAATTTTTCTATTGGAGGTTTATCATACATACCATCATTTTTCTTAATTATTTCTGATATTTTTCCCATCAAATAATGACTTTCAAAGCTATTTATTTAAAACCCTTCTTGGAAATCTCACAATATGGGAGTTGATCATCAAAAATAAAGAAGAAAAATGGTGGTATATGCTCCTGACATAGGAATACATCTTTTCTAAAATGTTGCTGCTTTTAACTGAATTTAATGTACTGTCATCCCAAGAATTATGATGCTATTAACCAAACGATTCCCCTAAAAGTAAAAACATACAGGGTTTTAAACTGGATAGTAATAAAGAGTAAAATGTTCTTCCCATGCATGCTCTCTTTCTGAATTTCTTGTATTTCAGGGGGAGATGTACCATACTCACCTCACTACAGCACAATTTGCAAACAGTTACGAGACTTCCAAGAGTTTTTTTTTTTTTTTTTTTTTTTTAAGATCTTCCTTGTAATGAGGGCTACATTTATTTCTCACCATAAAGTAAAAGAGAATACATGAAAAATTCCCAAACAAAAGCTGAATTTTTCTTGGTTCCTTTGTTAGGAATGAATACAGCGTGACTAGCAAAGCTTGGTCTTTAGGAAATGGGCTGCACTTACCGTCTTCCTGTTATAACTGGTAAGACATCATTAGATTTGGCTTCAATTATTTTAAATGCTACTTTCTTCAAATCTGAAATGCCAACAGCCATGTCCTCTAGCATTCCAATTTCATCACCTAAACAAGGGAAAAGGGGCCTAGTTACAAACATGCAATTTGAAGAAAATGTCACTAGCTACTATGCCTCAACGCTAGAAGTGAGTCTAGCATTTTAGTGAATGAGTTTCTGAATGAAGGGAATCCATTCTAAAAGCTTTTCCTTGTAAGTTGATGGCTTTCATCAGTGAAACAAGAACCGTTTCAATGAACTCCAGTCAGCAATATATCCTTTGAGGGAAGGAAAGCCTTTCACATTTGTTGGGAGGCTGGAAATAAAAACTCCACCACATTATAAAACAAAATACCATGAGATCTTTTTCCATGGGCAGGACTTCTATTTTATGTCTAGAAAACAATAGCAATGATTGAATCAAAAATCATTGACTTGGGCTCATATTGGTTATATATATTGTTTTATCTACACTGACACATAAAGTCTGAGAAGGGGAAAACTAAGACCAGTGCTCTTAAACAGAAATATAATGCTAGCACATATGTGATTTTAAATAGTGCCTAAGGCACTTGACTGCTAACCAGAAGGCTGGTGGTTCTAACCCACTGGCCACTTCTCAGAAAGAAGTTTGGGCAATCTACTTCTGTAGTGATATTGTCTCGGAAACCCAAGGAGGGATCGCTATGAGTCAGATCTGACTCTCTGGCAGTGAGTTTGGTTTTGGTTTTTGGAGTAGTCATATTTAAAAGATTAATATAAAAAAGGTGAAATTAATATCGTATTTTGCTTAACTCAATATAGCCAAAATATGGTTTCAACATGTAAATCAATATAAAAATTAATTAGATATTTCTATTATTTTTTTCCTAGTCTTTGAAATCTGGTATGTATATATAGTACATCTTCATTGAGGGTACACACATTATAAGTGTTCAACAGCCACATGTGGCTAGTGCATTGAACAGTGCAATTTTTGCAATTTTAGACATTAGAGGATTGGGACTTTAAAAATGAAATAATCAGATCTATGTTGGCAAAGAGCGTTTTACATTAAAAAAAAAAAATCCAGATGGCTTAGGATTTCACTATGGAAAAATCTATAATTCCATTTTCAAACATAATGAGGGTAAAAATACAGCTATAAGGTGAATGAATTAAAAAAACTAAAAGGTTATGTTCTTTCTGTAATGCTTGATCCAATAAAGATTTACTTCTCATCTTGATATTTAACTGGAAAAGCTATAGATCAAATATCCCTATGAATATGAATATGATTGTAACATGTACTAAAGCAATACTTACTGTATGTACTTAGCAGTCCTTCATATTGTACTATCAATCCGACTGTGTGAAGCTGCTCTAAGAAGCCAGGGTCCTGAAAACTTGTATGTAATTTGATGATAAAGCCACAGACCAATCCAGCAAGCTAAAAAATATTGAAGAAATTAACAGAAGTCAGCAAACTCATTAGTGTAATTTTAACATGTATTAAGACTTTTGGGCCATCATAGATTGAATTTTAAAAAATTCAAGTATGTGTACAAAACTACAACTGTTTATATATACATATTTAAAGAAGTTGACAGTCTCTGATCTAACAAGGGCTAATGTGAAAAGATTTAAGGAAAGAAGCAATGTGAACAGGAAAAAAGCCTGGACTTTGGAGTAAGGTTGAAATGTCTTCAAATCGTTTCATCATTTCTAACAGTGAGACTATAAAATGTTATTCAACACTTCAAATCTTATTTTTTTAAAAATATGTGTAGAATAATGACAATAGTACCCATCTCACAGAGTCATTGAAAGGACACAACGAAAAAACACACGAAAGACCAGAGCTAAATGCTTAAAACATAGTTAGCTCCATTCACCATCAGACCATCCAAGAAAGATAGGGCCAAGGATCTTTTGGTTAAAATATTCCCACTGCCTGTAAATATTTAAAAAGAGAGGCTCTCTTTATCTTTCCCTCCATGTCTTGTGTCTATAAAACTTAATTATGGCAGTGGAGATGAGTGGGGAGAAGGCAGGGAACCTACATGGTCACTGTAATGGAGACCAGCTTTGGCATCTTGAGTTGGGTTTAAAGTAGGCAATGCAGGTAATCTGGCCAAACCTCCAATTTAAACCTTACTGTCCTGTAAACTTATTTTATTAACAAAAGAGGAAGATATCATTGTGAGACCCTGTCCTGGAATACATGGGGGAACTATATGGAGAGCCGCAATCAATCCCTTTTGCTAGTTCTGGTTAGCCACCTACAGGGTAAAGCATCAGTCATTTTCCTTACACTCTATAGGAATAATACAGTGGCCGGCTAGGCTACCCTTTCCTCCAGAGACCCTATGCTATATTAAAAAAGACTACATTTCAGACATGTGGCCCTCTTTTCAGAAATAAAGACTCCTAAAATGATTCCATGTGGCATTCAATTTGTATTAATCATGAATAAGAAAAATAAAGCACCAAAAATCTAAGACGAGAAGTACTTTCAAACTAAAACTTCCAAAAAAAGAACTCTATCCTCCTCAAGGATAGCATGTTAACAATTCAGTACTGTACTAGCAACAACAAAAACAACAACAGGCACCTACTGCTTGACTGAAGACAATGTCTCTTCTTAGGGTCAGCATCAAACACTGAGGCAAGCTGTAGGCAAGTTCCTGAAGGAGCACAAATGTCAGCGACTGCTTAGCTCGGTTCACCACTTCTCCCATGCAGTCCTTCAGGGTAAGGATGAGGGGATATAACTGTTCATACCAGTTCTCTGGGTGGGGGGATTAAGAACAATGGGATAGATGAAGGAAGGTCTTGGAGAGTAGAATCAATTTGTTACAATGCATATTATGAAGGATTCATAAAGATTTGCTTTAAAGAATTCCAATCCAAATCTCTTCCCTGAACTCCAGGTATTTATAGCCACTCACCCATTGGATCTCTTCCCTTGAAGATATGCTGCACATTACAGTAAAACTGTTCATCCCTGATTTTTGCCACTGTATTTTAGTGGATGGTGCCACCAAACTCGACTATGCTGGAACCTAGAATTTTCCTAAATGGCTCTTATCATAGTCTTCATATTCATTTGGTCATTATATTAGCTCCAGGAGCTCTGGTAGTATAGTACCTAAGGCATTTGACTGCTAACCAGAAGGCTTGCAGTTCAAACCCACCAGCCACTCCTTGGAAGGAAGGTTGGGCAATCTACTTCCGTAGTGATACTGCCTTGGAAACCCAAGGAGGGGTCGCTATGAGTCGGGTCCAACTCCACAGCACATAACAACAACAACAAATCAGCTCTTACTCTTGTAATATCATCTTCCCTTTGCCCTTTCCCACTATCCGTTATTGCTATCACTTCAGTCATATCTAGCCCCCTACCTAACTGATCTCTCTCTCTTCAGCCATCCTGTTGCCATCTAGCAGATTCCAAGTCATGGAGACCCTAAAGGATAGATTAGAACTGTCCCATCGTGTTTCCAAGGCTATAATCTTTATGGAAGCAGACTTCCCTATATTTCTCTAACCAGGGTTGCTGGTAGGTTTGAATCATTGACCTTTCAGTGAGCAGCCAGGGCTTAAACAATGCACCATTAGGGCTCCTCACCTCCAGTCATTCTCTTCTAAAATCCCTTCTCACGAGTGTTGCTAGAGTGAGTTTTCTGATTCCATCACATTAATCCCTTTCCAACTTTTTTACTTAGAATAATTTTAAAACACTGAAGCATTCAGAGTGAAGTACCAGCTCTTGAAAGGTCCTCCATTATCTGACTTCTGCCTACTTGTCCAAGTCTCATCTCTCAAAACTTTGTCACTTGCATTCTTGAGACCCTGCTGAATTGAAAATCATGCATTTCCCCAAACCTGTACTACTCTCTGATTTCAGTGCCTTTGCAAACCCAATACCTCCTTCTCTATCAATTTTCCTGACAATGTATCTTTGCAGACTTAATTCAGATTTTCTCTTTGCCAGGATGTTTTCTATGATTTTCTCTATACTTCCTTCTCACTCCTGAAGAATGGTCTGAGTTCACATCATTTTTTACGAACCTTGCCCTTACTGTTATAGGTTACCCATTGCTATTTCCTCTGCTAGAAAGGAAGTTCAAAGTGGGTCAGGAGTCTAATTTTTAAACACGAATCTCCAGAAGCTAGCATGGTACAGTAGACCCTCAATACATTTCAGTTAAATGAACAAAGTTATAATAAATGTAAGTCCTTTCAGATATAGGCAAAAATGAAAAAATCAAGTTTCTGAGAGTATTTGGATTTCAAATAGCGTTCCTTCAAATCAGGATACAAAATTCAAACCATCTGTACTATTTATCTGTATCTATTATATGTCTAGATATTTTAACATGCTTCAGTTATATAATTATGACTCTGCCATACCATTCAGAAACAAATTATATTCTATTTCAGTTTATTTGAAAATAAAAGCCCTGAAAAATGCCAAGTATTATAAATTGTAGACTGTGTAACTTTACATTAATATGTAAAAAAATTAACAGTGAGATGACAAATCCAGTTCAATAGAAAACAATCACAACCTGCAAAATTACTGATGAGGCAGGATCTGGAATTATATGATATTGTAAGCACAAAGATGTAACTATCAGAGTGAGTAATGTGAGTGGTCAATAACTAGTTATGACCTTGAAAGAGTTACAGGGAACAATAAAAACTTCTGTCATCACCATTGCACTATATCTACTTATCACTTACTTATTTCATGTTGTAGTATAATAGACTAGATGAAATCAACAAAAATAGTGTAAAGGATAATTAATAACCCTAGCTTAATAAAAATACATGTTCTTATTAACTGCCCCCCCACATTAATGACTATGTGATGCCATATTGTATAAAACATGAGGAACATTAGGAGTAATTAAAAAAAAATTGTAGAATTAAGAGTTACAATGAGAGCAAGAAACACTAGAGCAAGGATATTAAATGAAGAGCTGTTAAATCTTTAACCAGCTAATAAATGACTCACGTATAGCCATCAAGGATGAAATATGGACAATAGTTCAATATATACAAATACTGGTTAACTATTGATTCTATATAATTAGTATAAGGGAAAGCACAAATACTGGTATATAAGACACATTCAGAATTAAAGACACATTAATAGACAGTAAAAAGGAATACTTTATAGTCGTATGTATATATATATATTTAAATTTACATTTTCTCTTCTTTATCTCCCATTCTCTCTCTCTTTTAAATTATTATTCTCAGTTTGAGTGAATATTGAGAACACACACACTAGGAAAACAAATATTTCAATAAATTGATTGAGATGTAGATTTTAAAATATAACAGACTACAAATTGATTAGATTTTCTGCTGAGCCCTACAGAGATCATTCTCTATTACTAAAGAATTCCAAAACACAAAATAAAGCATGTGTACAGTAGGTGGCGCTGCTTTATCAGGCTGAAGTAGAATTACTTTGCTAGTAGTCATTTCATTAAAGTAACTGATTTACTTTCTTGGACATTTGCATAGTTCCCAAACGATATATTTTTATTGCTTAAGCATCTTGCATCATATTATCCTGTGTCGAGTGGTCAATAATTTAGTCATGAATGTTACATACTTTGTTCTAGTTAGAAAGTAGAAAATCAACTTAGATGTATACTTCTCTCCCTTTTAATCTTAAGTGATAGTTCAAACGAATGTGCCTGTTGGTCTTGATGGTCTTTAAAGGAAGGAGCATCACAGATATCTTCATTAGCAAGGATGGTAATGCCTTTAATCACTCTAAACATTTCCTTCATATTTATCTAACCACTGGATTCTTAATCATGAATTTCAAGCACATAACCAAAAAGAAAAGGCCTGATTTCCAGTCCGATTGGAACAGAAGTGGAGAGCTAGAATAAAGGGGAGCAGATGTGGGCTGTGTTTCAACTGATATTTTAAAACTGGGAGCACTGTTAGATACTTGTCTGATGCTAACATTATTCCAGTGTCTTCATTTACTATAATTATATGTACCTTTTATTGTTAAAATTTAAGGAAAATGACAGTATTGGGGAAACATTAATTATAAATAAGAAAAATTACAGATTGTGTGAACAAGATAGTATGTCGTAAAGATAATAGTAAACTTCCTGTGGAGAAGTATAAATGAGACAGCTAAAAAGAGATTTTTTTTTTTCCAGAAAAGAAGCAATTAAGTTCAGCAGATAAAAGAAAATTGTACCAGCAAATGCAAATTGCAATGAATGAGGTTTTCTTCCATGTTACTATTCATTCCGTATAACACTCAGGTTTTGAAATCAACACAATGAGGTGTGACAAGCCATAGAAAGGCAGTTCATAAATGGCCTTCTTGCTCCAGTGAACGTTCTAAACCACTCTCACAAAGGAAAAGTAAATGTTTTAGTTTTTTCTTTAAAAAATGTTTTCAGGAAAGAAAAAATGCTCCAGCTCTTGACATCTTGACACCTTTGCCACTTCCACCTTACCCCTGTGTCTCTCTAGACTTCACTGTTCACTTGGTGTTTATTTAATCATTAAGATAAAGCCATTTCACAGCGAAGATGAAGATGATGTTCCTTCTTTGTTATCTAATTCAGGGAAGAAATCCTGAAATGAACATCTGCTCTTCCAAGTTTACTTTGTTTTTCAAACTATAATACATACTCAGTGAAGCTGAAGAGCTAGAAGGTCTCTGCAATACAGTCACTGCACCAACACCTCTCACATGAGTTAACTGGCCTGGCAGGCACTAAGTGCCCACACCATTGATTCTATCCCCTGGGTTCCTTTCAGTGATAGAGGGAAATATGAAGAAAATGGCTTAGTGTCTATACAAAAACTTTCTGAAACTCCTTAACCCTGAGACAAACAAGCAGAGTATTTCCTCAGGAACACATAAAATGCATATGGCTTAGCTGAGCTTTTCCTGAGCTTTGTGAAGTATGTTGGAAGCCATCCAAGCTAAGCCTGTTTCCCAGTCCTTTACTTGCTTCCATAATGTATTCAAGTGAAGCTCACTGAAGGATTCAAAGAATGACTGCTGGCTGTCCCCCTCACCTCCTCCACACACCATCTATTTCCTGTACAGGATGTTCACATCCTCTGAGCTCAATGGCTCTTATGTTCCTCAGGAGGAAAATAAAAGAGCCAAATACCAACCAACTGTAGCAGAACATAATGCTTTCTTTCCAATTTCTGAGCCATTTTCTTCTCAGTTGCTTAGGCTTCTTTGCTCATTTAAAATAATTAACTTCATAACAGCTTGTAGCCATTGTTACTTTTGTTATCACAACCTTTCAGCATGGAAAAACTAAAAGCTAAAAGGTTGCATGTCTGTTAAACTTTATGCAAAGAGATATGAGAAGAAACAAGGACAGTTCTTAGGATTCATTTAAGTCAGGATGATAAAATGTAAAGTCAACAACTGGAATGGCATTTAAGGCAGATGATAAAATTCCCAAGGTTGTAAGGAGAACACAGACTGAAGCAACAGCAAACAGGGGTGTTATATTAGGCTCAAATTTCAGGTAATACAGGACTAAATGGCTGCATGGTTGTGGGTGGGGTAGAAGTAGTGGGGAATATTGATATCCCTGCTCATGGTCAGTGTTGTCTTTGAGGGGTCTATGTCCTACCTCAACTCAGATATGGCTACTTGCGGGCTCCTCTGTGTGAAGACCCTGTCTTCAGGTACAATTTTACAATGTGAACATCATAACTTTGAGAAGGCAATTGCTGATAAGGCTTCCTCTCCAAATACTTTATAGCTAA